AGCTGTGACTTGTTAGCTTAGAGCGGTCTTATGGCTCGTTTTCACATCCTACTTATTCCATTCGCCTCCTCCCATACCAGCCGGTGCCATTCTAGTTCCCTTGTCTACAGTCGAACTAAGTCTGCTTCCCTATGGTTTTATAATGAAGAGTATGCACTTTCCCCCGTAAAAAATCCATAAGGCTCACTGTTCCTGAGCTTTGCCTTTTGTTATATCCTTGGAGATAGAGGGATGACTTGTAAAGCAATTCACATACCGGGATGGGGAGAGACGTATGTTGATGTACCATAGGAAAATATGACTTCCTTGAAGACTGACAGACTGTCTTTTTCATTATAGCATCTGAAAAAGGAGAAACCTGGCCTCAGAAGTGGTAGTCAGGCAGCAGTGAAGATTATGATAAAGGAAAGTATTTGGAAACTGTTAAGCACCTCCTAAATTATTTCTGGTTCAGGGAAAGTGGAATCCTAGTTTGAAATGAAATGATGGTTGCAAGAAAAGTAGAACCTTTCTGAAGCCTGAAAAGGAAATACAGGAAAATAATTTAATGTTGGAGAACATCGTATCTATCAAAAGCACCTGTCAGCAGAATCTGATCAACATTTATCTGTTAAATTGATCTAATATCAATTTCATTTAGGCCACTTCTGACTAAGCATTTTCACAGTTGATCTGTGGTAGATTTTCAGTATGATCAAGTGAAGTTTAGGTCTGGTTTTGGTTTAAAACCAAGAGTTGCTGCTGGACCTTTTGATGAAGCTTGGATATATTTTGATACTGCTATACATTGCAGGAAAACATTATTTGTTCATGAAAAAATATTGGTCTAGATATAGCTGGACAAATCTGCTTTATAATGCAGAATGCCTAACCATGCTGAAAGTTTATGGGAGCTAGAGAAGGGTGTGCAGGGTGCTTGATGCAGCTCCATATCTGAAGTAGATCAGTTGTGGGTTTGACCTGATTAGGAGATGGATTGGACTGTGTCTATACTACTCCAGACTCCTTGGGAGAAAATCAGTTTTATTTGAAATTTTATAGCAATTTTGACAGCAATTGAACCATACACTTTAAAATACTTGAGATACTTATATAAGATTCAGTGAATGTTAGCTAGCACTAAGCAATGCATAATTTTATCATGCAGGCCCCAAATGTTGTCATCTTTGACTCTGGTTAAAAATTGTGTTCCAAGTTAACATTTCAGTTCCTTAAGGATAACATCCGAACGTTTTTGACCACCTTGACAGATCATCTCATGTAATAGTATGAAATGACAGTGATTTCCAAAGAGGAAAAACGTCTGGTATATAAACAGTGGGCCACTTACTCTGAGTGTCAAAATGAGACTGGGAGAGTGTATAGAAGAAAATGCATACTCACAAAGAAACGGGACTGTTTTAACCTCCGAAATTTTTTAAAGTAAGAGTTGACTTACATAGGTTGAAGTATTACTTACACTGCTAAAGATGTGATGTTATATTGCAGAACATTCTGCTTGGTGTAAGATATGTTTATTTATAAGTTTCACATTGAAGGGGGCAGCTTCCCATAAACACAAAATGCAATATCAGTCATGCAATAAACAAGACCAGCAGTTAATTTTCTCTACTGTTAAAGAAGAAACAAATTTAAAGTGTTTTTTAAAGTTTGGATTCATCTCATTCTGTAATGAGGAAAAATCTGGAATAATGGTGCCTGATAGCTTATCTATTACTGCCTTCAAACTTCAGGTGGGTAGCCGTGTACATCTAAAATAGCAGAACAAGTTTTGAGTCCAGTGGCATCTTTAAGACAACCAACGAAGTTTTAGTCAAAGTGTAAGTTTTCGTGTGCAAAGCACACTTCACTTTGAATAAAACTTTGTTGGTCTTTAAGGGTGCTAAAAAGGTTAAGGTTCCCTTACTCGAAAGCCAGTCGAATCCGACTCTAGGGATGTGGTGCTCATCTCCGTTTCAAAGCCGAAGAGCCAGTGCTGTCTGAAGACGTTTCTGTGGTCATGTGGCCGGCATGACTAAACACCAAGGCGCACAGAACGCTGTTTCCTTCCCACCGAAGTGGTACCTATTTATCTACTTACCAGGGCCGGCTCACTCACTAGGCCCTTAGGGGCGCCAAACTGCACCCGGCCCCGTAGTCTGGGTTTATTGATTATTTGTGTTTTTCATTCTTCCTAAAATGCATTTATTTTTGAAAATTGGTGGGCGCACGGGGAGGGGGGCGCCAGAAGGGATCCCCGCCTAGGGTGCAAAATAAGCTGGGGCCGGCCCTGCTACTTACAATTTCTTGCTTTCGAACTGCTAGGTTGGCAGGAGCTGGAACTAGAGACGGGAGCTCACTCCGTCATGCGGCACACTGGGGTCTCGAACTGCTGAACTACCGACCTTCCACAGCCTGCAGTTGAGCGTCTTAACTGGGCTCAAAAATTGTTCTGCCTTCAAACTGTTCTCCTTAAACCTCAGCTTAGTCCTACAGTGAAGAGTTTTATAAATCTGCTAGGAGACTTGTCATGTGTTCCATGTTCATCATGGAGACTCCTGGCATCCCCAGTCAGTGGGTAAGTGTAGTACACAGAACTCATTCCATGCATGCTTGAATTAGAGCCACAACACACAGTTCAATGGGGTAGCCAATTTATCTAAGTAATGCACTTCATGCATCTTATGAAATAGTCTCCAGTTGATGAAACCTTATTCTTTTTTTTAATTGTCTTTAATTTAACATACAGTGCATTAAGCAAAGATGAAGCCTTATTCCATATACATTTGTTCTGCAAAGATACAACTCGCTTAACTTGGTTGAAGTCCTTGTAATTTCAGTGAAATTATGGATTGCCTCTTGATTATCCTTTTAAAATCTACACATTGAACATTTCAGATGAGAAACATACTTAGTTTCTAGTGAGTTCCATTGATTTTAATAAATGGTAGGGCAATCCAGCCTGGGAAACTAATGAACTCTGGCTGTGAAAGTCTTCGACAACATATGTGTACATAACTGAAAACAACAGGAATGTCCAGAAATTCAGACGCTAATGCATGTTGAGTTGTCTAAATTAGTCACTTTTCCCTGATTTTTTTCTTACAATTTCGGAATTGTTATAAGATCAGAAGTTGTGATTCACTGGGATTTCCAGATGCTAAGTTTTGTTTAAGAACCTGGAGAGCAAAGGCCCCTTCAGGTAATTCAGTAACAGATCTCTGACTATTGATTTTTGCCTCATCAGGTCTTTATTCCGTAAATGGTAAATCTGATTACCAATAAAATTTTGGCAGTCTTTATAGAATCTGTCATTATCTACTTTGAGAAAAGCAAGATAACAACACACTTAAAATAATGAATATTGCCATTTTTGATAGATAATTATGATTTTTTTCAATGTGATTGCAAAGAAGTTAACACTTCTTTTAAAAAATTGTATTTGACAAATATATTCAGGGTTGAACATGAAGATGGAGGAAGGGTACTATACTGTAGTTTTTCTTTTCTTGAGCATTTGCTGTGAACTGAATTTTGCAATCAGGAGAAGTATCTAAAGTTTTATAGCTACTGCAACCTAGCTGCTATTTATAAGTTCTTTTTTTAAAAAAAATGCCCTTCATTTTCATCGTATGATCTCCCATCTCTCAAGTGAAGATGCCTGCACTGTGGGTTGAGGTAGTAGGTTGTATAGTTTTAGGGTCATACCCACCACTGGGAGATAACTATACAGTCTACTGTCTTTCCTAAAGAAGCAGAGAATCACCAGTGACAACTTCATTATGGTTTCAGTATTGGAGTTATGAGTCTGTGTATCTGACTTTGCTCTTGAGTTGTTGAATGTAGGCACATGTTGCCAAACATTAATGGTTTTCCTGAATAAACTGTAAGGTTGGCATGGTAAGGAAGTACTTACTATAACCCTGCCCATTGGTTTCGGATGCAGAGATGCCAAATTAAGTAGAAATAAAGCTTTCTTGATCGCCTAAATTTCTCTGGTCGGGTTGAGGTAGTAGATTGTATAGTTGTAGGGTAGTTATTTTGCCCTCTTCAGGAGATAACTATACAATCTATTGCCTTCCCTGAGGAGTAACATTTCTGCAGTACTGCTTTTTGCTATATGTGTCTGATGACCTGGACTAGATGTTTGTTTGTAGAAAAGAAACATTTCTTTTTGTACATAAGTATTAACTGGAAAGTGCTAATTTTTCAGCAGTGAATTCATGTCATCTTAAATTCCGCTAAATGAGCATCCACAATCCATTGGTGAAATATGTAGTCTTTGGGGTAGATCCAGAGCAGTGTTTTTGTGGACACAAGGACTTCTGTATGTGACACACGACAGCCAGACTGCCACAGAAATGGGAAGCTGAGAGACAACCCCTGAAATCCTGTTTCTGGGGGGGAAAGGTACCTCCTTCACTTTAACTCTTCACATTCCCAGGGATTGAGTTAATGTGACAGACGTGTATATGTTGTTCATGGTGTTCCCAGGTGTCTGCATTTTGAAAATTTGTGCGACTTTGCTTGAGCTTTAGAAAGACTGCTGCTAGGCTAAAGGGGGGGGGGGCACTAAGTGTTTTGGCTAGAGTCAGTGAGCTGCATTCAAACTACCTTTTCTGCTGATCAAAGGGATTTTTCAGCAAAATGGAGTTGCCCTGCCTCTTCTACTGTCACTCACTGATCTCCCCCAAACTGCTTGTCCTGGGGGGCAGGACACCGTTAGGAACTGTTAAAAACCTCCCCCTTTCATTTAGTAGAAGACTTAGTTGAGAGCAAACCAATTGTGTATGGTGGTAACAATTTCATATTTTGTGTTCACCAAAATAGTATTTGTAAATTGTAATACTGTCTTTGTGCTTAAATAATTTCAAGAGATTCAACACTTACTATCCAAAATAAATATGTGCATTTATGATGATCTGTTTTTCTGTTTCCACATAAAGTTGATCTTTCACTGCAGCTGTTTTTGAAGAATTGCAGAAGAAGTGGTGGGTTCCTAGGAAGAGGTAGTAGGTTGCATAGTTTTAGGGCAGTGGTTTTGCCCACAAGGAGTTAACTATACAACCTGCTGCCTTTCTTAGGGCTTTAAAATTACAACAGGATCGTATTGGCTCAGTCTAACCCTTCCATTAGGGTATGGTATGCAGAACTTAATATTACTTTCTCCACTGGTCTGGATAAACCAGATAAGTTATTTCTACATTAACTCTCTTTCAGGCTCCATAAGGTAGACCCACAGTGCAATCCTAAGAACACTTTCCCGGGAGTAAGCCCCATCAAATACACCATTAAGATCCTGAGTAGATCTACTTAGGATTGCGCTGAACTGTGTCTGTACTGAATAGAAAAGGGGGCTGGTAATGGATTGAAATGTGCTCCAACCTGAAGAGAAAGCACCATATAAAAAACATAAGTTAAATTTACCAATTATTCTGTGTTGGTCCCACTTGGGTTACTTTTATCATGGTGGTTGTCTGGTGGATAATTTTGGAAATTGTGACTCATGAGATGATAGCAACAGATTTCCCTCTGCAGTGCTACAGAGAAGAATGCAGACAAATACACCAGTAACTAGAATTAAAGTGAAACAGTGCTTGCAGAAGCAGTTGGTAAGAATCCTTGCCTTTTGATTATCCCAGTAAGAGGGCTGGAGACAATATGGCAGCCATGGATGATTCTCGGAATTTTTTTGTGTAAGGTAGGACATAACGCAGGCCTAAACACACCTTTCCACGCCCACCAACTTCAGTGGACTAAGAAGGATGCAACTCTACTTAGGATGGCACTGATAGTGGTGCAGTGAGACTTGTTGCAGTAGTTCCATCTGTTCCTCATGCAGTAAACTCTGTACTCCCAGTGTCAATTTTCAACACATGCAGTTATCTATGCTGGGGCTCTAGAACTCTTACTGTCTCATCCTACCTCCAGATCTGGAAATCATTGTAAGTATATGCATTGTCAGCTAAGATGCCTAAGTTTTGAATGAGTGTTACTTTGCAAAAAAAAGTGTTTTGCTTGTTTTTTTCAAACCTTGGAAAAAATTGTTTATTTTCATGCACTGTAATAAACTATGTATTTTAAGAGAACGTTTCCCCCACCAGAAACACAGTGAAGGTAAAAGAATGGGGCTTCAAAGACTGTACAAGATACAACAGTTTTATTGTGGAAATAAACATAAGTATCAAAGCTCATCTCTTTCTGTGCTCCTTAATTTGCATGCCATTTTCTTTATAATAGTGATTTTTTAAAAACGAGTTGTGCCCCTTATCCACATAACTATGGACTCTGTTAGGCTTCTTAACGGTCAGGGAGTCTCTTCGGTGAATGTTGAATGGAATTAAGTCTTAGAGATCGAAGCTGTATGCTCTTAAAATGTCTGTCTGATCCACTCCAGCCACTACACCAACAATGCTGACATCATCACAGGCCACGTTTGTAAAGCCCCTGGTAAAGAGGAAAATATATATATGATGGTCAGCAAAGCCTAGCATTTACAATTAAATAATTCATAATACTCAACTCGTCATATGCACTATAGCAAATTAAACTACACAGTTTTTCGTTTGCAAATAACTTAACACCCCAGTCCTAGTTTTAAGGGTTCTTAATGAAAGAGTATTAGTTAATCAGAGCTTAAGCTATCCTGGTGACTTCAGAAACCACAGTACACAGGGACTTGAGGCAGTGTAAGGGAAAATAGACAACCAATTAGCTGCACACATGGAATCACTTTCTTCACATCTTTAGATCTAGCAGAAATGTTACTATAGAGTTGAAGATTAAACTCTTAGCATCTGTATTTGCTTATGTGTTTAACAACTGGTCTTAGAATATGTGAAAATAAAAGTCATATTACCATCAGACAATTCACTTTGTTGTTGGGCATCTTCAGAATGGTTGTACTAGTCATAAGCTTAAATTATAGGTATTCTTATCTAATTGCATTTTCATAAAAGTTACTTCTCACCTTTTGCATTAGATTTCTTCCTCAGGAGGAAAGAGACAAGTAAATGGTTTAGTTTAAGGCCACCTAAAATGCGATTGGAGAGTACATGGGGGGTTCAGAGGTTAAGATGCTGAGCTGCAGTGAGCTCCGGAAGGTCTGTAGCTCGAGACCCTAGTGTCGCATGACGGAGTGAGCTCCTGTTTCTGGCCCCAGCTCCTGCTAACCAAGCATTTTTAAAAAGCAAGAAATTGCAAGTTAATATATAGGTACCGCTTTGGTGGGAAGGTAACAGCGTTCCATACACCTCTGTGTTTAGTCATGCCAGCCACATGACCACGGAAACATCTTTGGACAGCTCTTTGGCTTGGAAATAGAGATGAGCACCCCCTAGAGTCAGATTCAACTAGCTTTCGAGCAAGGGAAACTTAAGATGTGAACTGGAGAATGGACGCTTTCTAGCCTCTCTATTTCATAAAAATAACTTCTTGAAATGTGTTACTTTTCTAAATAAAGATTCAGGATTTGAGTCACCAATGTCAAATGGAAACTTAAAAGAATTTGAAGAGGTTGTTTTCCTTAACAGAATGGATCTCTATTAGAACAATTTCATTAGCATCGAGAAGTACAAACCTTTAAAACATGAGGAAAGCAGTATGTTTGTGCTATAGAATAGCATGCAGTGCTATGCATTTGTTGGAAACCACTATCAGTTACACTTGACTTGCACAAAAAAAGTGGACCTTCCCTAGGCACATTAAGTATTATGACACAATATTTTTCTTGAATACTATGAAAAAGTTCAGGTAGCTTTAGTCGAGCATGCCTCAGCTAACAGTAAATCATGTTTATTTTACAGGGTTTCCCCTAGGCCTGCTGTATTCAAACAGAAGGTTGCAATTGCAAGTATTAAGGCAAATGTTAACCTGCAATAAAGGTGCTCTAAACAAACCGTGAAGCCCATAGCATACACCTTTGAACAGGGATAATTTTGTCCTTCATATAGGTTGATCTCTCCCATCTCAGGTCTTTGCAGTACAAAAGAATAGTACAGGGGATGTGTTATAGGACTAGCAGTTCCCTCTCAGTCAGAAAGCTTCCCTGGATTGCCCTTCCCTTTTGCAGGCTGGGGGCTGTATTCTATTTAACTTCCTAGTTCTGTAACTAAAGTCACAATCTTTCCCCTGGATAGATTATTATATGATTTTGCTGTATCTTCCATATTTCGTAGTAGTACACATTCTTGAAGTGTGTGTGCCTTTGAAAACAGTCTGGAAAAAGCTTCTCCAAAATGTTGCAGCTAGGCTACTGTTGGGTGGGATACAGGGATCATATCAGCCGACTGCTCAAAGATCTGCACTGGCTGGACAATTGTTTGTGGGCACAATTCAAAGTAGGGGTGTGCATTCTGAACAATCCGAAATGCAAATATACCCGAAGAATACCTTATTGGTATATTTGAGGTATATTTTGGGTTCCCAAAATGTATCTCTGTTTTTCCAGAAAACCAAAAAAATCCTGGATATGTGTTTGGGAATTACTGGTAGATCTGAAGACAGCAGAGTGGCAGTAGCATATTGCTCCCATCTCTCAGCTGTTTGCTGGGAGTCTACTGTAGTCTCTTTAAAGTTTAAAAGGACTGCAGAAGGCAGCCTGAGGATCAGCTGCACCGGGGAAGCAGACTGTTCCTGCCAGCTTGGCTTGGAGCTGGCTTCTCATACAGTCTGGTTTAAACTGGGCTGCTGGAGGAGCCAACCCCAAGATCTGCTGTGCCACGGGGAACGATCTGCTAGCCATGGCATGCAGATCCCGGCGCTGGCTTCTCCTGTAGCGCTGTTTAAACCGGGCTGCAGGAGAAGCCAAGCCAGCACCAGGATGGCGTCTTTTCTTTTCTCAGCATTTTTCTTCTTGAGCCTCCTGGACCCCTCCCCCCAAATTTGGTATTTCTGAAAAATCCCAGATCCAAATACAGTATTGATATTGGGATTTTTCAGAAATTGAAAAATACTGGTTAAAAAATTGCATACCCCTAATTCAAATTGCTAATTCTTACATTTAAGGCCAGGGATACCTCAAGGATCTCACATATTGTCCAGCCTGACATTTAAGATCTGCCATGCAAGTCCTGCTCTCTGTGCCTATCTTTAGTGGTGGTGAGTAGGAATTAGATTGGGGGGAGGGTAGTACTGACAGCTGGCTTATTTTTATTTACTTAATGTGTACTTTGTATTCATAGGCTTACACGAACTGATCACATGGAAAACGTCCTCATTCACACAAATAAGTGTCCTCCCAGCCACAGTAACACTTCAGACTTTGAAGTCCAAAGCACTAAGTGCAGGGTTCAGCAAGTGTATTCAGCACCAGTCTCTCCACATCAGCAGCCTATGGGGTTCTAAGCTGACACTAAGCAACATTTAGGTACAAACGATGCTGCTGCAAATGAACTTGTCATGCTCATTACATGGTTTCTTTTAGATCCTAGTCTTAGTGTTAATTTCATAAAAGTCTCTAAGTAATAAAGCTAATCAGTAAGCTCTGAATGAGAGATTCCTATCTAGACTTGCAATCTGGTTAAGTTTAGAGTATCAGCATCTATTGGTAGTTTAGAGTAGGCCACCAGAAATACATTAGCAGTCACTCTGTTATGCTCCTACCTGAAAATTAATTTTAATGCTCCCCACCCCACCCCACCCCTTTGAAATAGCCAGAATTAGAGATTTTAAAGCAGGCAATTGAAAGGTAGCTTTAAAAGGGTAAGCTTTACCTTGACCATCTGTGAGATCCCCCCACTAAATGATAGCGACTAACAAGGGAAGATGTTTTGTTGTCATTTTTCCAGGTATACACACGGAGCGAGAGATCGAAGGATGATGTAACAACACGGAAAGGATCCTGCAAAAAAAAAAACACCACCTTTTAATTCAGTACTCCTTATAATAAAGCATATGAGCAAGTAGTATTAATTGTATATACCACCCATATTGATGTAATCGCCTTCATGTGATCTTGGAAAGTATTTAATTCAGTCCCATCCAGAGAGTATATTTTCAGCTCAATATTGAATGCTATCAAAAGTGTTTGTTTTCCAAATCCTGCAATGGTCTTGTATTGTGTAAATATAGGTTTCTTTGGTAATCTGAAGGTTGCAACCTGTTGAGCTTTTAAGAAAAGAATAGTTAGATGCCTTGTTCCCTTACAGTTCTAGCACTAAAACTATGTTTATAGTCTTTTCTAGCAATTTATATTCTACTACTCTCCAGCCCTGAAAGTGTACTGCAACACTGCTCTACAACACTTAGTCACCTTACCCTGAGTTCTGTCAGGATTTGGATCTCCACGGTGGCTCCGGTACAGTGTTACTTTGCAAGAGTGACAACAGAGACAAAACATTCCATTTTGATAGCGTGTTGTCTAAGTGCGTGACCAAAAAGGATTACCTTTGTAAGATTGAAATGCTTTATCTGTTACTGGTACACATTCAGCACAATAGTTTATTAAGAAATCCAGAAAACAAAAAGAACAGAATGGTCCCTGTGTTCATTCTGCAAGATAAAGCCCCTCAAAACATGCTGTTCTTAAGATGGACAAGTCTTACTTAAACAAGAAAGGTACTGTATACTACTAAAAGCATTAATAATTTGCCAGGGTAGTTTTGGTGCATAGAGTTTCACCATTAGCAAGTAGTTTGGGGATGACTTGATGCTTAATACTGCTAGAAAAACTATATAACACTTGAGTAGATTTTTCTTCCATAATGTCATCTGGAACTGGAAGAAGTGTTTGTGGAATGTTTAGAAAGAGTGACTTAGAATGGTAAACATAATCCTTTTATATTTTTTGGACTGCTAATAAATAAAGTAACAAGTAAAAACCTGATGCTTTAAAGCAACAATTTTAAAAAGCTTACCCGTGATATTCATTTTATATTTAGACTTTTGTATGGTTATATCAATGGTTGTGATGTTATAGCATTGGTCTACTCCATGCATTAGCGCTATTCTTGCTGGTTCTGCTGGTAGCCAACAGGTAACAGAAGCACAATTCTTGATTGGCAGAGGACTAGAAAACACTGGTAGATCATCTTCTGGATTAGTTGCATGATGTGTATAAAGTACCTGGTATACAAAAATGAGAATCATACATATTGTCCTGACTTCTGCAAACTATTATAGGTGTATCCAAAGGCTATCCCCAGTAAGACTTTTGACTTTCCTCAGTACCATAACACAAATGTATTCTGGTACTTACTTCAGTTACCAAAGGCATTTGTCATGTGGTAGGGGCATCCGTCACTCAAGAAGCACAGTACAGTTGTAATACTCTTTGCCTCAAGGTCATTATCTACAACTAGCAACCTAGATAATGTTGTTGCTAAAAGTCTCTTCTTTGCCATCAAGTCACTGCAGGCTTGTGGCGATCCTGTAGGGTTTTCAAGGTAAGAGGTGGTCTGCCATTGCCTGCCTCTGCATAGCATCCCTGGTCTTCCTTGGTCTCCCAGGCCAACCCTGCTTAGCTTCTGAGAGCTGACAAGAGCCAGCTAGCTGGGGCTGGGCTATCCAGGTAAAGGCAAAGGTCTCCAGGGAAGCCGCAGGGCCAATTCAGACTGTCGCAGTCTTGGGACCTAGGAAATCTTTTGCTTAGAAAACACAGTGTGTGACCTGGACATTCTCTAAATACTGTCATTGCTACTAAGTAAATCCTTTGATTGCAGCAGATGAAATAACTACTGCTTAGAAGGCCAAAGTTCATTGTGTAGTAGTAGTAGTAGTAAAATTTGTTGTGTAGCCAATGGCCATTACAATTTAAAATTTAAACAATGTACAAATTAAGACAACTTACAGCACAAATTCATTGTGTCTTTTCCACACTAATGTGGGAATACACATGAAAGACTGCAAACCAACACTTGAATTACTACTATAGTTAGTGTGAGCCAAGAACTTATAACGTTCATCTTAAATATCTTAAGGAAATCCATGCATTACATTTCAGAGCTGCTTGTTTCCTCTAAATGTTACAGTAGAAATCTTGAGTTCCTGACTCACTTGTCGCATCACTGCTACTTTGTAGTGCTTCTCTCTCTTAAATGCAATACAGCACTCAGCTCAGAAAATTAAGTGCACTGACAACAAGAAAATTGCTGAATATAAGACATTTTGGTTGGGTAAACTTCTGTAATAACCCTGATATTGCTCCCCAGATTATTAAACCTCTTGAAAGGATATTTCAAACTCAGCTTATGATACAGCATGGATGTCTGCTGGTAAATAGGGAAGATAGCCATCTTTTAACCCAAATCCTATAGGTATGCCTAGAATAATTCTTTGGAAGAGTTCCTTACTGAGATGAATATTAATAGTGAACTAGTGTCCCAAAACACAGCTGCAGGTGAGCACTGAATATGTATTCTGGGATGTCTCTGCACAGGGTGATAGCAGACAACCCAAAAGCAACAGTACACCCTAAAACATCAAGAATAATCCATAACGTGCAGGGATTTTGTAGCTAAGAGTATTGATTTTTTTCATAATTATTAAAAGCATTAGAGTCTAAGAAGGAACAAAAATTCAGAGATCTGAAATGTATATTGCTTACTTCCACTGTACTTAATACATGAATACCCAGCACATTTAATCAATGCTAATTCACTGGCCACAAATATATAGGAAAGGAAGCAACAATGTAACAGTACCTTTGGTGCTTCGTTGCGATCCAGAGGAAGGACAACTATTGATCGCCCATCTGGTGAACAAGATGATAAATCTGCACTACAGTTTGGGAATGGTTTTATGCAAGAAATTTGACTTAGCTCAGGAACTGCCAATGTATAGATTTTTTCACTTGAAGTAGCTACCTAAATCAAAGGAGAAACATGGTTAATATTAAGGCTGAGCCAAAACAGCACTCCAGTTATACTGTGGTACTTATAGGCCAAAAAAAAGAGGAAGCCCTCTTTTCAGCAGTATTTATTCTGTATTTATGTGACTTGGAAGCCGCCCTGAGCCTGCTTTGCGGGGAGAGTGGGGTACAAATCTGACAATTAATTAATTGATTGAAGGGGCATTTGAAAACTGGGTGAAATGTTCACCCATCTCATTAGCCCCCATCATTTCTTGCTCATTGTTTTCTCTTCCTTTGGTTGCATGACACCAGAATGGGGTACAAACCATGACATTTGCTATGGTTTGAGTTTATGACTACTACGTTTCCACTGCGACCTGGCTGTGTGATGATGATACAAAGCCAAATCAAACTGAGAGGAATATGTCCATGCCGTTACTCTAATGCAGTTCCAAGGTGGGGGTGGGTGGGGTAGAACCATGCCAGACAATTGCCACCAGGTCTACAGCCAAGGAGAGAACAAAATGGGGAGGCACTTTCAAGAAATTTTTCATCCCTCTTCAAAACATCTTCTATGAGAAAACTTGACTGAACCACAGTTAGCACCCTTTGAAGAAGAAATCTGACCCTGGAAAATGGGCATTTGTTATTTAATTTTGTATCTCTCCTCATCTGTAGGCTGAAGATATATAATAGTACTTCAAAAAATATAACATGAATAAGTGAATTCTGTTAAACTAGCTTGCAGAACACTATATGCTTACAGTGCAATCCTGAACAGAATTATACCCTTTCTAGGCCCGATAACTGCAATGCACGTAGAAGGGTGTAAATCTGTTTGATGATACTGCTATTCACATTAAGGATTGTCCAGATAGGAGGATACAGCATATATCTAACTTTAATGGTTTTGGGGGTGAGGCTAAAATTAATTGCAAATATTGAGTATTGTAAGTACAGTAAAAGTTTTCTTAACCAGAACCTGATCAACTGGCATGCTGAGTGAGTGCCTTGGCAGCAGGCTGGGTAAAAGTTTGGTCAATGAGCAAACTGATTCTCCTTGGATGCCAGTTAACAAAGCTTTTACTGTTCCGTGTTTTACATAGAGCCACTGCTGCATTTGTCCATACATAATTCAGACTCCAAAACTGGAGAGGCAGTATTGTCATCTTCTGTTCCAGCAAGCCCTAAGACTGAGTCATTTAGAACTGGTGTGAAATGAAACACAAAGGTTACTGTATTTACTCAAAAGGAAGACTATGTTTTTTCTCCAGAGTACCAAGAAAACAAGAGGGTATCTTAAATTCATAGATGAATTACAAATATGTACAGTAATACACTGTATATAACTTTGGGGGGGGGGGGGGACCAGAACCTTACACTGAACTTGGTAACCAGTGGAACATATAAAGAATAGGTTTGTCGTGCATGTTCTACTTAGCAGGCAATAATAACTGAAGCACAGCATTTTGCACCAACTTGAATTTCCAACAGCAGGCCTATGTAAAGTGCAATACAGAGTCTAGCCTCCAGGTAACCAGAGCATGTGGATCCACACGGCCAGTCAAGGTAAGGAGCTATCTTCTGGACTAAACCCGACAGGCTACCTTTTTGCTGCTGCATTAACTTGCTTCTGCAGTAATAATGTGGGTCTGGTATAACCCCAAGGCTCTTAAATAAGTTAACTGTGACAGGCCCTTTGTTGAAACTAAGGGCCCCACACTTCCTTTGTGATGACTTTGGGAGATCTTGGTTTTGTAATATAAGCATTCCCAGGAGTCATTTTGTAGAAAAAGAGGTGCAGGAGCTCATTAGCATAACTCATTAGCATAACTTATTTGTATATGCCACACCCCCTGACATCACCGGAAGTGTGTCAGAAGGCAACACCCACCGCTTAGGCTCCACTGAACTGTTTTGGATTGCTAGCTATGGGGGGGGGGGAGAGACATGCAGATCTGCCCTCACAGAGGAGGGAGAGCTAAAGGGTGAGCTAAAGGGCTCTTTGCCTGTGGCTCTTAGCCTAGGGACTCTTAGACTAGGGGCGCTGTAAGAAGCCCAAAAAGAGCCAGAAAGACAAGGCCCTAGGCTCTTTGTCTTTCCCGTAAAATAATTTGACTTGATAACAAAACCCACATAAATACCAAGGGTTTAAAAGGGGGATTATATTTATTTATTTTAAAAGAATTATGAAGCCAGAATGCCAGCAGGGGGTTGGGGGCTATCCAGTGTTTTGCACGGAGTGTCACATGTATGACTATCTGCCCACTGGGCAGAAGTCTT